GGGAAAGCTGCTGGGTGCAGTGGAGGTAGTGGGATCGGGAAGGGACCGGTGCCGTTGGTCTGCAGCACTGTAAGGTGAGAACAAGAGGCTAGGGACAGGAGGGAGACAGGAGGGTGGGCTGGGGGGCTGTGGCAGTGCCAGTACAATGGGGACCCCAGGTTTGTGGTGGGGGACAAGTCTGGGATCTGTGGGCCACCACCTTCCAGCATGGCCCAAGGGAGAAGGTGGGATATGCCAGGAACAGTGCCGTATTGGGCTGCTCCCGGCAGCAAGGGAAAAACACAAGTGTGTGGACTCCCTGCCCTGTCCCCAGGGAATCTGGGGCTCCAGTTCGATGCTGGGATGGGACGACATGGATCTGGGGTGACATGATGCTCTGAAGAGCTGGGATGGGGCTGGAGTCCCTCTGACACCTCCATCCCTGCAGTGGGAACCCCTATGCTGGGCTGGTGAGCCACCTGCGGGCATCCTGGCTCTCCGGGAAGACACGGCCCTTGGAATACCGCGTGGCCCAGCTGGAGGCCCTGGGACGCTTCCTGGATGATAAGAAGGAGGAGATCCTGGAGGCCACCGCTGCGGACATGGGCAAGGTGAGAGGGGGCTGGGGTTCAGGGGCACTGTCATCATGTCTTTGGCATCCTTCATGCCCCTTTGTCTGGCTGTTGCATCCTCGTGGGGGTCAAGGCATGGGGTATCTCCTCTCCAGTGTCTTGTGTCCCTCTAGGTGTGCTTCAGGGCTGGTGTGGTGCATCCATAGGTGCTGGGTCCCCTCAGATCCAGGGACAGCGGAGGGACTGTGCTGCTGATCCCATCCCTAGTGCCCTGAAATTGGGCAAAGGCCACCTTGGCTGATGTGAAGTGGGAACGTTTCACCCTCTGTGTCCCCCCACACATCCAGCCCCCCGGGGGTCCATGTGAGCTCCACAGAGGGTGATATCCTGGGGTGCTCCCAGCACACCTGGTATTACTGGCATTGTGCAAGGCGCTGGTGCTGCACATTCCCAGAGCCTTACAGGGACTGGTTTCACTGGCACAGTAGCATGGGCAGAGAACTGGATGTGGCCCAAGGTATTGCAGAATGCCAGGAGGTCTTGGACAATCCACTGACGAAGCGGAAGCATCCCCACCATGGATAATTTTAGTGGTCTCAGCTCATCTCTCCGGAAGTGTTCAAGGCCAGGTTGGACAGGGCTTGGATCAACCTGGTCTAGTGGAAGGAGGCCCTGCCTGTAGCAGGGAGTGGCACTGGATGAGCTTTAAGGTCCTTTCCAACCCAAACCATTCCAGGGTTCCATGATAGGATCCTCACCTCTTTGTCCTGCATCAGCACAGCAGCCTGTGCCCTCAGCCACATCCTTCCATGTCCTGCCATCTTCCAGGGCTCCTAATTGCCTTGTTTATTGGGGGCAAGTCCTTCTCTTTCAGCCAGGCCTCGATAGGCATCAGTGCTCCGAGTGTGTCCATCACTTCTCTTAATTATGTCTAATTAGATCTGGTTGTCTAGTAATGAGCTTGTTATGCAGCCAGGCCCTCATAGTTGGATGGACACTTCACCTGTCCTTACGTACCTGAGGTGCTGCCTCACCTCCAGCGACACCGGTTTCTCTCCGGTGCCGATGATCAGCAGCACTTGGATGACATCAGACTTAATGTCCCATCTCACAACCTTCATATCTCATCAAAACCCTTAATGACCCATCATTTTCCTCTTAGTGGTGATGCAACTGTCATCCCAGATCAAGAGCAGCCCCGTTGCTTCACCAGATTATCGCACGTGCCTACTGAGCTCTCACGTCCGGGACGGTCCTCACACCTCCTGGCACCGGTGTTTTGGGGTGGTGGAACGTTGTGGGAATCAACAACCAGCCTTCCCAACCCCAAAGTAGTGTGGGGATGGGAGGAAGGCTCCAATCCAGGGATGTTTTGGAGTTGGAGGACTCCAAAATATGGTGTCACAGCACAGGAGCTTTGCTCCTCTGGCTCTCCACAGTCATGAAGGGGCTCCACTGAGCCTGCTGGGTTATCCCTCGTGCCTTCACAGTTCTCCTGCAAGTGTGATCTTGATCTGTGCTCCATGGCTATGGAGAGGACCCACTTCTCCATCTTGAGGGGTTTAATTAAGCTGTGGTTCTTTGTATTTCCCTTTAATCAAGGTCTTAAGTTCAGCTTTTGTCCACGGGCACAGGAGGGAGCTCCAGGCTCTGCTTCCAGCTTGAGTATCCAAGTGCTTGGGATGCAAGAGCACTGTCCCATCCCAGGGCAGCAATGTGGAGCTGCCTTTGGCACGACAACCAGCTCTTCTGGAGCTCCAGTGATATTGCTCTGTGTCCTCTTGGCTTGGGGCTCTGTTGCTGGTTCACAGTGCTGAGCTCAGGAATTTGTTAAATATAGTGAAAATGTTCAATTTTAGTTTGGTTTTTTTTTTCCTCTGGTCAGATACCTATTTTCATAAAAATTTCCGGGACACTGATATTCCCTGGGAGTTACAGGGGGTGATGGCAACTTCTGCTTAAGAGCTTCTCCTGCTCTTCATGCTTGGAAGAGGGGGGAGACTCCTCCTGGGGTGACAGGGTCGGTGTTGGGGTGACGAGGTAAGTGTTAGGGTGGCCAGGTCGATGCCAGGATCTGTGCTGGAGTGACAGAGTCCATGTTGGGGTCAGTGTTGAGGTGATGGGGTTGGTGTTGGGGTGACATTTTGTGGTGTCTGTCCCCAGCCGTCCTTTGAGGCTTACTTCAGCGAGATCCTCCTCTGCAAGAATGAGCTCAACGTCACCCTCAACAACCTGTGCCACTGGGTGAAGGACGAGCACGTGGACAAGAATCTGGTAAGAGGGAAGCTCTAGGAAAAGGGAAGGCAGGGAAAAGGGGTTGCTGGTGGGAAGGGCAGCGCTGAGGTCGTGGACGTTCTCACAGGTGATGCAGCTGGACTCTGCCTTCATCCGCAAGGATCCGTACGGGGTGGTGCTCATCATATCGCCCTGGAACTACCCCATCCACCTTTTCCTGGTGCCCCTCATCGGGGCCATCGCTGCTGGTGAGCCTCACCTTACAGTCCCCTGGCCCAGAGGATCCTGGCAGTGCCGGGGTCTCATCCCCAGAAGGGCTGGCTGTCACCGTGTCACTGTGCTGATGTCCTGTCCATCTCCCCTCAGGGAACTGCGTCATTGTCAAACCCTCAGAGATATCCAAGAACACTGAGAGACTCGTTGCTGAAACGCTGAGCTGTTACCTGGACAATGTGAGAAGCTCTTCTTTGTCCTTGTCCCTGTTCCTGGGCCGTGGTGTTCTCAACCCTGCTTCGCAACCCCAACCTTACATATCTTCCATGTGCTGAACCACCTTTCTCCATGCCCAGCCGGTGTCCCAGCATCCCAGGATGCTGTTGGTGGGGACAGATGCTGACAAGAGGTATCCTTATTCCCTTGCAGGACTGCTTTGCTGTGGTGACTGGGGGTGTGCAGGAGAGCACAAGGCTGCTGGAGAACAAGTTTGACTACATCTTCTTCACTGGTACGTCCCATGGGACAGAGCAGAGCCCTG